AAATCTTATTTTTATGGGCTGTAAGACATCCTGCTAGTGGATATGTACAGGGTATTAATGATTTGTGTACTCCATTTTATCAAATTTTCTTAGGCAATTATATATGGCAGTTACAGAAAGTGGCTGCATATCGCCAAAATTCTAGTGAGGATAGTGATATGCAATCATTCATACCTGGTTTACTAGATGATTCAGATGATAAAGAGCAAGAGTTACTAGATGATCCAAATCTAATGAACTACAATGTTGGTAATTTTAATCCTGCAAAATTGTCGTCTAGAGTCATGTCTATAATTGAGGCAGATACATATTGGTGTTTGTCTAGGGTATTGGAAAATATTACAGATAATTACATCCATGAACAGCCTGGAATTATTAGACAGGTCAATGATTTACGTAACTTAATATCAAAAATAGATCTAGAATTGTTGCAACATTTTGACAACGAAGGTGTTGAATTCATTCAATTTGCGTTCAGATGGATGAATTGTCTCCTTATGAGAGAGTTGTCCATTCCCTTAATTATTAGGATGTGGGACACTTACCTTAGTGAATCGCCATTGGGTTTTAATAATTTCCATATTTATGTCTGTGCAGCATTTTTAATCAAGTTCAGTGGTGAATTGAAGCATAAAGACTTCCAGGAGATTTTACTTTTCTTGCAAAACCCTCCTACTAATTATTGGACTGAAAAAGACATTGAGCTAATGTTAAGTGAGGCATTCATTTGGCAAAGTTTGTATAAAAACGCCAGTGCCCATTTAAGGTAAATTCGTTTGGAATTCTTAATTATATTAAATATTAGCTTATCATATTATTATATTGATGTATTAAATATACGATCATTTTTCCATATTCATAGGCAAGTCTTTCATGTTGTGTAAATGATGAGTGAAAATTTAATAACCCGTAACTATCCTACCGAAGGCCTGCCGATGTTCTTCTTATATTTATTAGCTTATTATTACATTTTGCAACTATTCTCGTTATAATTCAGTACTAAGTCGGAGTCGCATTATTTAATTTTGCTAACGGAGTCATTTATCGATAATGAAAATTTCATTTGACCTCGTTCGTACAAAAGGTCGTTATCAATTAATTAAATAGACTCGAGAACGTGGCGATCTATATAACCAATTTCTTTCAGGGAATAACCATACAAAACAGTTTAAACATTCATTTCAACAATAATGTCAACGGATACTAAGCCTGCTGGAAGAACTATTTTAGCTTCAACAATTGCTAAAGAGTTTGTCGATGAGATAACCGGTCAACTTAAAGAATTAGAATTCAAACCTAAGTTGGTAGGATTTTTAGCTAACGATGATCCAGCAGCCCAAATGTACGCTAGTTGGACCGGTAAGACATGCGAGGGATTAGGCTTCCAATATGAATTAATCCAAGTGGACAAGAACGATTTGGAAAGTTCGTTAATGAAAGCAAACAAGGATGACAACGTGAATGGTATAATGGTGTATTTCCCAGTGTTTGGAGACAACCAGGATCAATATTTACAACAGTTGATATCCACTGAAAAGGACGTGGAAGGGTTGAACTTCATGTACTACCATAATTTGTACCACAACGTCAGATTTTTAGATGCTCCATATAACGAGCAAAAGTGTATCTTGCCATGCACTCCCTTGGCCATGGTCAAGATCTTGGAATATTTAGGTGTGTATAACAAGATCTTGCACTACGGCAACAGGTTATACGGGAAGAAGATCTTGATTGTGAATAGATCCGAAATCGTCGGTCGTCCCCTTGCAGCCCTCTTGGCTAATGACGGGGCCACGGTCTATTCTGTGGACATAAACAATATCCAACAGTACAGTAGAGGTGACGATTTGCTGGAAAAAAGACATAAGGCCGTCCAATTAGATTCTACCCACTCTATCGAAACTTTGGCTCCTACCTGCGACGTCATCATCACCGGCGTTCCATCTGATTCCTACAAATTCCCAATCGAATACATTACTAATGGTACCGTCGTTATAAACTTCTCGAGCTCTAAGAATTTCCCTGACGAAGTAAAGCAAAAGGCTGGTTTATACGTTCCTTCGATTGGAAAGGTCACAATTGCCATGCTTTTAAGAAACTTGTTGAGATTAATCAAGAACAAGAACCACAGAATAGCTAAGGGTGAACAACAACCCTAAGTTTTTCTTTTTTGCATCATTGCAACCTCGATGTCCATGATGGATTGGAACCAGATGCTACTTGTATGTAGGAGGTGTGTTGTTTAGTTTTGTGTAATGAGAAACTAGAGTCAAAAATTTTCTGACTCCTCTTTGATAAACACATCTTGCTAGCGAAACGGCGGACTTTAACATTATACCCATCGAGTTATTGAGACATATTGAAACATAGCATTGGGTTAGCTATTATTGAATTTGTTGAAGGAAAACTCCGGAAAAAAGAGCAAAAACGAGGTTGTTACAGTCTTTATACGTAAATATAGTACCATAATAAAAAAAACCCCATATATTCTAATAGAGGTACCAACAGGACCAATGGAGTCTTCTAATACAAAAAGGCTAACTCAGATTGACCCACTTACTATTACAGAGTCACTTGGATTTCAAACATTCCGCCGAGAGTCAAGAAAACCATGGAGTAAATACGAGGACAGCGAGTTGATCCGCATCATAAATGAACTACATCCCAGTCAAATCAATAACTTGGATGCTGATGCAGTTAAATGGGACTTAGTGGCACAAAGAATGTACCCCAATGGCGAACGAAAGCCCAAGGATTGTCGAAAGAGATGGTGCAATTCGTTGGATCCGAATTTGAAAAAGGGAAAGTGGACTAAAGATGAGGATGAAAAATTGATCAAAGCTTATGAAAAACATGGGGCGTCGTGGCAAAAAGTGTCAAATGATATTCTTGGGAGAACAGATGACCAGTGCGCTAAAAGATATATTGAGGTATTAGATCCTGACACGAAGGATAGGCTTAAGCCGTGGGAACATCATGAAGATCTACAATTGATAAGGCAAGTTAAAAATCACGGTACGAAGTGGAGAACAATTGCGTTAGAGATTAAAGGTAGACCCTCTTTAACTTGTCGTAATAGATGGAGAAAGATAGTTACTGATGTTGTTAGAGGTAAAGCGGACCCGATTATCAAAAAGGAAGTTGACACCATTGCCAATGGTAATATCAATGTATTGGAGAATATAGGAAAGGGCAATACCAGTATGCCAACTTCGAGTCAAGAGAGTTTAATGAATTCAAAATCTACTTCTCAGGCATCAACCCCGTACCCGTTAAGTGCACCTTCCCAGCCTACTAGCGTTGAACAACGGGATACTTACCTGACTCAAAGGTCTTATCCAAATCAGACGGGCCAGGTCCCGCAGCAATACCAACAAAGAATTGCTAGACCACCGGCTCAAAGTGCAATTACTATGCCGGTTAATAGTGAAGTTGAATGGAAGTATACCTTAGAAAGAGAAGATGGAAAGCCTGATAATCCTAATTTACCACATGCAGCTTTATTCAATGACGATAATAACGGACACATTAAAAACCAAGAACTAGTTCAACAGCTTATTTCGTATGCTAAGACTTACGGCTTGAATATTACCGTCCATCAACATATTCATCATCATTATTCGCAACCAGGTAATCGACACCTGCAAAAACAACGACAGGCTCCTGACGTTCAGAATTATCCTTATCAGTCAGTGCAATCTCCTTTTAGTATCTTAGGTCTGTCCTCAACTGGCAATAACAATGAATTTAATTCAGTAAATGAACCAGGGTTTAACGATTCAATGCCTCCGAATGAAATGAATAAAAATTATCAATCTCCATACTATCTTGAGCCAGAAACGCAATTGACGAGATACCAACACTTCAATTATTTGCCACCATTAACTGAAGTTCCAAAATTGAACTCTTCGTCATCACCTCCATCAACAACGAAGGATGCAAATAATCCAACTCATCACCATCATCACCACCATCACCATCACCATCATGATAATGAAAACGAGAATGAAAAGCAAGAGCGAAAGGATCCCTCAAATAGTAAGGAGTCTGATTTGATCAAACTATTAAACAGATATAATAACGAAACAACCCCAGAGCTACAGGAGCGAAATAAGGGAGCCATGGTATCTACCGAGTCAACACCACCAGGTTCTAATTCCTTAACCCCATTAACACAAGCGGTGGAGATGGCGGCTGCTGCGGAAGCTGAAGGAAAAATCCCGTCATCATCTAATTCTCGAAAGAGATCTAACACCAGTACCTACCAGAACAAAAAATCTAAACTGCAAAGAAATGAAAAGGAATTAGAGGATGGTATAGACTTTTGGGATAACATGAAAAATTTAACGGAGTTACCAAACCAACAATCCCAGCAGATAGCTCAGTCCCAACAATTAGCTCAACCGCAGCAGCTAGCTCAACCTCAACAGCAGAACCAACTGTCCATTCAAAAGCCAGTTTCGCAACACCAATCGTCAAATATGTTTTCAAACAATACCTCCGAACAAGCATTGGCAAAGCCGCTGTCAATCATCGATACTAATACAAATATTAATAAAACTACTAATAACGATATCAATGATCCACCTTATGAAGAAGAAGAAGCGGTAGGTGAAGAAGATTACGGACTATTTTATAACGTTTTCAATAAAGAAGGCTCTTCAACTGCACAAACGAATAATGATACAGAGCACCAAAATAATGGCTCGGTGTATGATAATTTAATAAGCATATTCGGTATGATTCCTTTCAATCCTTCATAATCTCTATATATGTATATAAATATATCATTTTAACAAATCCGCAACTATTCATAAAAATCTATAAACCTCATTTTAGTTTCACGCTGCGCAAGAAATAGATCATATAAAAACTGTTTTTAGCATACTTAGTAAGGTAAAACAAATACACAGCATACTGATACTGACTGTTAATAGATGCGTTATAGATAGTGAATTAATACATGCCGAACCAGCCAATATTATCAATAGGTATATTCCATGTCAACAATAAATCATAGTAATACTAGTGGATCTCTGGATCATCATAATTTGAATCACAGAGTACAAGGTCAAGACAAAGAATTAAATTCTCCTGGTAAAGAGGACGAAATCAAAACATATTATATTCGCCTTATAAATGAAGAGTTTAGAAATTTACAACTAGATCCGGATTTACAGTCCAAATCATTATTTGATTTGATTGATTATTGTGAGCTTTTATATGAAGATCTGACGAGAGTAATCAGCACGGAGAAAGGATTGAAAAGTTTTATTAAAGGGTACTTAATTTTCAATTATTTCATCAATAGTCTTATAATGATGCATTTTAATGGTTTTGACGAATTTATAAAGTCCAACGAGCGTGATTTCATTATATATTTGCATTTATTCACGTTCTATAATACCGATGATTATATCAAAACAGATACTCGTTCTATTCCCTTGGGAATATTGAGAAAGTGGATACTCGGGTACCTTATCGCAAACAAGCTATTGAAATTTGATGTTCATGTTTTATACGATTGGTTGTACGAATATATCGACTACCTAAAGGAAAAAGATGAATATGAATCCCAAGAGCAGTTGGTTCAACCGAATCAAATTCTGAAATCGCAAGGGATGAATAATATAAATGCAAACATTGCTGAAATAAGCTCTAGTCAAGATTCCTTACAACATTCGTCTGATAGCCTTTTAGATGTCCAGAATAATTCTGATGACAATGAATCCCTCAATCATTTCAAGAATAGATATCCGGCATTTACCTTAAATGAAATCAATGATTCAAGTGAGAGTTTAATATTCCGGCCTATAAATGATCTGACATACGAAGTTCCCCTGGGTACTGATTTTTCTTATAAGGCTTCAATACCGCCGCCGGTTCCATCTAATCCTCCACCCATACCATCTATTCCCCCTCCAATACCATCTGTAATTCCTCCGGTTCCATCAATGCCTCCTCCGATTCCGTCTATACCTCCTCCAATTTCATCTAGGCCACCACCAATCCCGTTCACGGCTCCACCTGAATTACCACGTAAGTCGTCATCAGATCTTTATTCATCACCGTCCCATTCTCCATCTAAAACATCACAGGAAACTCCATATCCTGTTGATAAACTTACAGATACAACAACTGCTCCGTATCCTGTGTCTAATAATGTTTCGTCTAATAGCTTATACTATAGCAACCCTAGCTTTGAGTCGTATGACCGAGATATGCGTACTGATAATTTTACTAAGACTCCGTCTCAAGATATTAAGAAAACGCATTCGAATTATAACAGACCTTCACCGAGTATTCCTCGTCAACCTCAAGTTTATAATAATGATATGTTGAAATTCAATCCAAATGACCCATATTATAATCAAAACTTTCCCAACAAACATGCATATGCTAATCCCCTGTTTTCAAATCAGTATATATCTCAACCCCCTCCTCATATAGTGCTTCCAAACCATGCGTTGCATCAACAGAACCATCATGTGAGTCAAAAAATCAATTATATGATGGCATATTCAATATGTGGATTAAAGAATTTTGGGTCATCTTGCTATATAAATCTGACAATCCAATTATTATTTGGACTATATCAATTTAAGGCCATTTTTGTTAATCTGAATTATGTCAAATACATAAAAGATCCCAAGTTCTTGAAAATAATGAAGCATTATGGCAATTCAAAAACGTCTCAATTATTATCAGAAGCTATATCAGGGTTGTTGAAATCTTTCCAAGCTCATGGAGGAGCCGCTATAGCACCGACTAAATTTTTAAGAATTTCTTCTTCGATAAAGCCTGACTTCAATATTCCTAATGAACAACAGGATGCCCAGGAGTTTCTTTTATTTGTATTAGAAAGATTACATGATGAGTTGTCTTATAAGGCCCTCGATGAAAGAGAAATTGATCCAGAAACATTGGAAAGATATATCCAAAAATGGAATATTAACATCAATATTAAAGATAAAGAAAATTATTTAAATTGGTATAAGTCTCTCGTTAAAAGCGAAGGAAACTCTCCTATTAATGACTTATTTCAAGGACATTTACAAAACAAATTAATATGCAATAAATGTGGTTATGAATCTACTAATTATTCTCCATTTACCATATTATCATTACCCATTCCTGATTACAATGTGAGAATAAATTTATCTGATTGTCTTAGATACTACACTCAAGATGAAATCTTAAGCGGTGATAATGCTTGGAATTGTCCCAAATGTTCAAAGAATAAAGATGGTGATCATCTATATCCTCCGAATTCACTTGATAACCATCCAGTTTTCACTTCCAAAAGAAGTGGTATTTTTAAATTAGGCAAGAGAAGTAAGTCACCTTCTAGAGATAAAGCAAAAGCGAATGCAGCTGCTAAAGATTCAAAAAAGGATTCTGTTTCTGTCAAGACGCTTAATTTCATAAAATTACCTCAGATTTTATTTATACACTTGTCTAGATTCTCTATGTCTAGTATGACAGACAAGGTGAACAAAGTTATTAAATATCCGTTAGAACTCAGATTTAACAACTATTCAAACAATATTAATCATGAAATAACATACAAACTAGTTGGTTTAATTAATCATTATGGGAATTTGAAAAGTGGCCACTATACGTCATTAGTTAATAAATCTATTCCTAGTTCATATAATGACGATATAAATCATCCTTGTTGGTGCTATTTTGATGACGATGCAGTACGAATTAATTTGAAACATGGCGATATCAACAAGCCAAATATAGATTTTAATGAACTCAACTCTCGGGATGTTTACGTATTATGTTATGAAAGAAGGTGAAAGAAGTAAATATGAATATGTATATACATAATATTCAACGTTTTGATTTTACAGCTAGTCTACTAGATATTTCACCGATCTTTGTATTATTTTTTCTTTTGAACTGATTTCCTTTTTCTTCCTCTTCTGCTTCTTCTTCTCCTTCGCTTTCGCTGTCATTACCAAAAGCCGATCTAAGCTTTGGTCTTTTCGATATAGACAGCTTCAATGATACCTTAATAGGCTGGTTCGTATTCATATTGTTTGGCTTCGGTTCTTCTTTAAATTCTTGCTTATGTCGATCCATATACTCTTGGCCTTTCTTAATTTGGTCATTTATCAACTTCATCGACATCTGCTCCTCTGTTTTCAAATTCTTTTGGCTTTGCAATAACTCTTGTTGTTTTTGATAATATTCAGTGTCAATAAGTCTTATGACTAGATTAAATTCTGTATCGGTATCTGCTTCAGGTTGCTCGACTTTGACATATCCTCTAGTGCCTAAAAATTTCACAAATTGTGTCAATGAAGACCATTTTGTTGAATTCATATGTACATGATCCCTATCATTTCGTATATACTCTTGATAGAATTTATTTGCATTTATCTTCTTCGTACCGTGGTTTATCTTCAACAACTTTATGAAATCATTTAAGAATTGACTGGAATATTCCTCTATTATACTTGAGCCACCATCCTTCAATGATGTAATTTTTTTTTGATGTGATAACGAATTTATGTGATTTTTAAACCCATTTGCATCTCTGCATTGTTTTTCACAGATTTGACAATAAAAGCGTAATCTTTGTAAGCCGGATGCTTTCAACTGTTTTGATTGATACTTTGCTGTTCCAATATCCGCCTTTCCCATTCTTATATTGAATTAGTTAATATAGAAGAAGTAGTTTTAATTTTTTTGCAAGTTAAAATGGTTCCTTAATTTTTGCGATGTATTTTTCAAGTATCAAAATAGTAACCTATAGTATTAAAGTCAACAATGTTGATAACACACCAGCAAATACCCTTAAGGAGATGGATTATTAATAAAAATATTGGCCTAAACTCGGTCTTTGGTAGGAATTATTCCTCTTTACCGCCACGGAAGTCTTATCATGCAAATTTAAGTCCAATATCACTTTTATGGAATACGAAAGTTTCACCGACGTTTAAATATTGTTCTTTGATTGCCATACTTTCAATATCTATGTCACATATACATCCTAACATTATTGTTACAGTGGGACCACCGGTTTTGTTAGGAAGTTGGTACTTTTATAGCAAATGGATGAAACTACAGTATGCAACAGAGACTGAAAAATTAATACCGAAGTCTAAGAAAGAATTTAATTCGGAAGATAATGATATTATTATAAAGAAATACAACGAAGCTGAAATATCTAATGTACTTAATGGGATTGATAATGAATTTGATAGTTTCAAAAGACAGGTTGTTGATATTACTGAGAGAAGGATTATAGACTATATTATATCAAATCAAGATCAACGCAACGAAATGTTTTCTTTATTTATTGATGAAAACAAACAAGTCTCAATAAAACTAAGTGAAAACGATATTGAAACTTTCATTCTCCTGTCAGCACCAGTACCAAATTTTGATTCGATTGAAGAAAATGAAACATCTCTCTCTCAATCACGTAATTTTCAAGATTTTATTAAGCTATCTTTACCATTCTTTTCGAGTAAGGATACTTCGAATCGGAAAAGGTTAGGAACAATTGAATGCTATCTACTAGAAATGAGCAACACTCAAGAGACTGATCACATCAAGTATAAGGTTTTAATTGAAATTTCTCCATATAAATGGTTTGTTACATCTAAAGACAAATTAAGTATCAAATATATTGAAGGTGAAGGAGTATATAATAGCAAGATGTTTGATGAAGCAAAAAAATCCAAAGAATCAGAAGGCCAAGATGACGAAGAAATAACTGTAAATATCTAAATATAGACTCATGTATATACAATTCATCATCTTTTAAAGAAGTTACGATGGGTTTCATTAAACAAATTGAATTGATATTCGTAGCACTGTGAATTTTCCTTAATTCTTTCTAAGTCAGGTAACCAGCTTTGAATATCATGAATTCTCTTATTAGTATTTGGATGTGTTGAAAAAAACTCTTGAAAACTTAAACCAGAAGTGTTATATTTCTGCTTCAATTTAGATTCCCAGTCATTCATCCTTAACCAGAATTGGACTGCCTCATTAACGTTAAAACACAGTCTCGCCATTAATTCACAGCCAATATGATCAGCTTCTGATTCCATATCTCTTGATGCAGGCATTTTCAATAATCCTTCAATCATTAAGCTATTAAATGAGCTCGTCCCCGTAATTGAATATAATATAGCCAGCAATAAAATATAAAACGGCTGTTTAGATAATTGCTCCAGTGAATGGTGAGCTAACTGATGTGATAATTCGTGCGATAGAACCGTAGCTAATCCATCATCATTATGACATATAGGAAGTATTGACGAAAAAATAAATATCTTACCGTTAGGCAAGATAAATGCATTAGGTGGAATCTTGTTGGGATCAACTTGGATAATATGAATTGCCCAATCCAAGGACTTCAAATGTTCCACCTGCTGTTGATCTGGAAAATTCGATATTGCAGCTGTCAACAAACTATTCATTATCTTAGTTACTTTTCCATATAGTGGGTCACTGGGTGGAAGTATTTGGTTTTGATATTCTCCTAAAATTTGCTTATAACTGTAATCCCCAATCTTAGTTTCTAACCAATATGGAAGCCAAATAAATCTCAACCTCCCAGTAAATGGGGCTTCATGCAAATTGTATACGTAGAAAGCACCTAAAGAAATCCCAACATAAATAGTATTTCTGTTGTAAAGGAATTTCTTGAAATCAAAATTTGAATGTGAGCCTGAATTACCAAATCTCTTGTAAGTAGCATAATTTCTTGTGAACCGAATGGAATTGGTTATTGAAATGTGAGGTCTTATTGGCCTCTTGATAAGAAGCCATTGTCTACCCAATTGTCTGAACATGGTTTTACCTCTCGTAGGTATGTAATAAAGAACTCTAAAAATAGAGATGAAGATTAATCTACTTCTCTGCGAAACGTTTTATTAGCAAGTAGACAAGACTTTTATTTATAGGTGAAATATTTATTTTATAAATATAAGTATAGAAATAAAAAGGATGAAAGAACTGAATTATTTAAATTAAAATAAGATATAATTTTTTGAAAGCCTTTGATATGGTGTTTTGGCTTTCTTCAAGAGGATGGAATCAAAATGTACGGGTGCAGAAGAAGACATTGAAAAATGGCATCATAAGACTATTCGAACAAGACATCCGGTTTGTAAGTATCCTGACTATCATTCTTCCTAATACTGAAGGGAGAAATTCCAGACTGTTCATTCGTATCTTCGAAAGATTCATCGATTTCATCGGCCGAGTCCATTCGGTTACCGTTCGCAATATCTGCTAGGTTGCTGTGTGTTGAGGACTTTGGAACCTTTGAATAAAAACCCAGTTGAATTTCGGAGGCTGAATCTTGTGCTTGGGGGTTTTTGGTGCTCGGAAAGCTATTAGTAAGAATGTCACTACTCGAATTACTGGACATTGTTTGATTCCGTTGCTTCAAGCTTACGGTAGCAGCTCTTGATGGTAATTTCTCAAAATACGAGGGCCCAGTCAACTGCTTGGCCAAGGTGTCTAGCGATTTGTCGGGTCCATTACTTGCGGTTGTAGGAGAGGCGACTATACTTTCATTGCTACTAGCAAAATTGTCGTTGGGGATGTGGGGCGGAGATATGGTGCTTCCATTAGCTACCTTATTTGTTGTCGGAACATTATTATTGGAACTTGCTGGAGATTGTGTCGATGCATTATGGTAGGCATTTGGTGGTAATATAGGAATGACAGACTCGTAGAAATCATATGATGAAGGTGTTTTTTGGTGCGTTGCTATGACCTTCCTGTCCAAAAAATTTGTGGTGGACGAAGATCCATTTGACAACGAAGTTTGATATGTCTTTTCCGCATTCACTTCTGCTCCCGTCTCTTCTTGCGTTAACGATGACTTATTTCTTTCACCACGCTTCTTATGTAACTCTTCCTCAAATTGATTGAACAGTTGATCATCCCTCAACCCCAAATCAATCTCACTTTCCATCCGATCCTCTCTTGACTGTTTTCTTTCATTTCTATACCACATGATGAGACAAAAAAGAATAATAACTGCCGAAGGAATACCCACTCCTAGCCCAACAGCAAGACTATTATCATATGCCATATTCTCACTTGAAGTTCAGGAGTTCGGTGTATCTCTCCAATATAAACTAGTGAAATTTCAAATAAAGCGAAAGAAACCAAACGCTCTCGTTATGTATAAACCGATAGTATTAATATACTACTACTATTTAGTACAATCAAAGAGTTCGTAATACTAAATTTAATCTTTCTATTAATGGCTGAGTTGAGAAATTTCCATTTATGTCAATCCGAGGGAGACAATTTTCCGGTGTATTAGCATAAATATAAAATAGCATAATATATCGCTAAATAAGAGGTATATACAAGTATTAAAGACCGAATTCAACAGAAGCATCTTCAAGGAGGTTGATTTGGGTTTTTTGAGCATCATTTATTTGTAAAATCCAGTGATGGATGTCGAAGGGATGTAACTTTGATTCACGAGTAGCCTTTAATTTCAATTTTCCGGTGTTCTGGGACCCTTGGACAGCAAATTCGATGTCAATGTCACCTCTTACGGTGTTTAGGGTGCCCCAGATCCATGGCCACGAGTACTTGAAGCCGATGTCTTCACCCAAGAGTTGCTTGGCATTTTGCGATCTTCTCAAGAAGTACATTACCGAATTGATGATGGGAGACGTTGTCTTTTCGTAGTTGAAGATGACGGCACATGCCAACGTTACACCTAATCCGTATGCTAAAAAGTACCTTCTATTTTGCTTTTTGGCCTTGAAAGGGTCTGGAAATTCTCTATCCACGGTGACGGGAGGTCTCTGGGGTGGTACTTGGGAAGAGGTCGAGCTATTGAGCCTGGTATACACCCGTAAGCCTCCAATGCCCCTGGCGACATTTATTCTTTTGGTAAATGTCGATATACCTATATTTCTGCTTAGCATTATGATTTGTATAGATATATGGTGTGATTTAATGTAGGCATAAGAAGAGATTTTTTATCTGGCTATAATTAGTGAAAATTACACAAAGCTTCATTCGTGATTAAGTACCATAATTAGGTCTGATTTAATACGTTTGAAGCAGCTTCTAAGGAATATAGAGATATTTGTATAATGTCTTCTATATCCGGAGCATGTATGGTATCGAAGATATCAGGAATGATTCATATCAAAGAGGATACCACCCCTCTGGTCTTAGAATGGAACGCAATAGATCAGCTGAAAACAGTAGTAATACCTTTGAACTCATTAACTAATTTACGAGCTTCTAAAGAGACAGCACCGAAGATGATGTTATTGGTGCAATACAAGTTAAGTAATGATCAGGATGAGAAAGAGCTAAGGCTTACGTTTACTAATAGGCCTACGATGAACAATATTAAAGATTCTCTACAAACCATCGTTGCGAGACAGAAAACGGTGATCAAAGACAGTCCAACACCAGTGCCGAGTTCGAGTGTCCCAAGCACACCAGTACCACTGTCTAGTGCTAACTCCGCTAGTTCTACTTCAACAACGAATCTGTTGACATTTACAGACCCCCAATCGTTAAGTGATCTGAGCCTCTTGAAGAACCATCAATTACAACAAAAATTGTTATTAGAGGATAAAAACTTGAGAAATACCTTTACTCAGTCGGTTATAAACTTCAAATTATCACCAAATGTGTTTTGGCTGACGAGATTAAATCAATTAAGAACATATGCATTAACCATCTCCCAACAGAAAGGTCCCTATAATGTGCTATCGACCATTAAGCCCGTCGCATCGTCGGACAATCAGGTGAATGTCAACGTTACTAGAGATACTATAAATGAAATATTTGGTACCTATCCTATAATCAAAAAGGCGTTCGATGATTTAGTGCCTTCGAAGTTCCCTGAGGGGGAATTTTGGTCAAGATTCTTTAACTCTAAGTTATTTAGACGTTTGAGAGGTGATAAGATCAACACTTCTAATGAAAGGGGTGACTTTGTATTAGATAAGTACTTATACATTGATCTGGACTTTGTTGAAAAGGAGGATGCGGACGAGTCAAATAAGAGGGCTAAATTACCGGATAAACCAGAAGTTCAAGTTAATAAGTTTTTAGATCTTTTAGGAAATGAAGAAGACAACTCTCAAAAGCTAGGAAATATGCCTGATATAACAATGAGATATTCAGATGATGTGAATAAACAAAATGCATTATTAAATCCAACTGTGAGAGGTAAAACTCCTCAAAAGGGACAGGAGAACGAAATGATCATTCTTATGAAGAATATGAACAAATTATCATCCAAAATGGTACATATGAGCGCACAATCTGAAAGTCATAAAACTCAGGATGATGGTTTATCGACAGCGGAAGTAAACGAATATGAACAAGAATTAAATTTGCATGATTTAAACGAAATAGAAGACTTAAAGTACGTTGAACTTAACATCAACACCAAAAGTCACATTATGTTTGCAGACTCCCAAGAAGATAGTACACAGAACGTATCCCCCGATGAATTGTCGATATTTTTGTCTGGAAACACTTTCCAACCACAGCACAACGGTATTAATCTTACTGAAACTTATTCTTCGAAAAAGGATGAAATAAACAAATCTGCAAATGATATAACGACTTTGATCAAACAAAATTTCAGGACTTTCAAATTAATAAACCAGTCATCCAAGGAATCTAGTGAGAATTTAATTGTTCCCGATTCAATGATTCAAGAAATTGTAACATACAATATAACAATCATGGAATTCTTGTCTCAATTTTGGAAATTATTCTTAAACGGTACTAACCCAAATCAATTAAAAAAAATATTTGCAAGCTTAAAAAATTGTAAAAACGCCTTAAACCAATTGTCAGAGAAAATTAAAACCACGATTAATAATAGTAGTTTAGTTCAAGACAAACCAAAGTTGAAAGAAAAACTATGCAAGGATTTAGCAACATGCATTAGCCCACTTCAGAATGGACTTGACAAGGCCTGCACTGATTACATTAAAGCTGTAAGATTGTCTTCGGAAACAAACGAAAATGGAAAAAGGCCACTAGAATAACTAGTTATAATTTTATATAGAGTAAAAATATAGCATTTCATTCATACAGTAGATGCTTATCGCATTTTGATAATCTCATTTTTATATGCTCATTGAATTTTTTTTTTTTTTTGGTAAAAACATTTAAATATTGCAATCATTCTAGAAATTATAGACAAGCACAAAAATGGCAAAGAAAAGTACGTAACAATGATATATATTAACGGAAATACTATTGGAAGTTATATTTACTAACAAAACATAGTTTCGAAACATAGCAGAGCTGCAAGAAGAGGTCTTGTTGAAGACTTGGGTGAGGCCAAAGACTTAGCTTCACTTCCCAAGCCCGAGTCCGATGACGTTAGAAAGTCAATCATCAGAACCACAATCAAGAATGAAGATTTGCTTAATAAGAAAATGGAGAACCAAAGAATAAAAAAGATGAATAGAAAGAAAACCAATAGTTTAAAACATAGGCTTGAAAGATCGAACAAAGTCGATGGTGTATTAAGTACAAAAATTGAACAAAGTATTGCCAGGGCCAAGTACGTTCAAAATTCAAGAAAAGCTGCATGGGATCAAATCAACAAAGGTATTTCTACCACTAATGAATTAGTCGATAATGACGAATCCTCGGAGAAATCAGAAGAGCAGGCAGAAAGGGAAGAAGAAGATGCCTACGTTCAGCAGTTTTTTGAAGACGATTCTGGTAAGCAAAAAGACGATACTAGCGACAATACTTCAAGTAATTCTAACAATAAAAATATGAACAGATTCGCTCTCTTGGAAGAATCTGAAGCCTGAGTTCGTATACTTTTAATAAGGATTTTTCGTCCTCTTCTGCATTAACATGAATCAAAATACACATTCATGGCTTTACGTACATATATAGATATATATATATCCGAATGACATCTATCTTCTTTATCGTTGGCTTATACTTAGTATGGCTTATTTATGGTACGTCCACTACTCGATATTCTAGATATTTCCAAGGCGAATCAATCAGCTAGTTAACAGCCAATACTTGTAGTACAACTATCATGAAATTGAATTGCTTTTCAATTGGTGCCTCTTTATTGTTGGCAATTAATTTAGTAAGTGGAGTTAACGTCAATCGTCCATCGTTCACCCCATTTGACAAATCTAAATTAGATAAGTCCTCATTTTTTGAACAATTCGATTATATCACCCTATTGAATTCGGATTGGAAGATTTCCCATGCTCAAAAAGACGATAAGTTCACATATGTTGGGAAATGGAACGTAGAAGAACCTACTGTTTATCCAGGTTTTGAAAATGACAAAGGATTGGTCTTGAAGACTCCAGCTGCCCATCATGCTATTTCGTATAAATTGGAACAACCATTTGATAATACTGACAATGACTTGGTTTTACAGTATGAGGTCAAATTACAAGACGGATTGGAATGTGGGGGAACTTACATCAAGTTATTGGATTACGATTTCGATAAGGATCACGAATTCAATAATGACACACCGTATCAGGTTATGTTCGGACCTGACAAATGTGGATCTGAGAATAAGATTCATTTCATTTTGAGAAGATTGAACCCAATTTCCAAGGAATATGAAGAAAAGCATTTGGTCAACACCCCTATGTCTCGTACTGGGAAATTATCTACCTTATATACTTTAATTTTGAAAAAAAATCAAGATTTTGAAATAAGAATAAATGGTGAAGTTGCAAAAGCAGGTAATTTGATTCAGAAGCCAAAACTTATGAAACCTCCATTAAACCCACCTAAAGAAATCGTTGATGAAGATGACTTCAAACCTATTGACTGGGATGATAGAAAGTTCATTCCTGATCCAGAACGAGCTGAGAAGCCTGATGATTATGACATAAAACATGGTTTATCATTAATTCCAGATCCTAATGCTGTCAAGCCTGCAGATTGGAATGATGATGAACCTGAATTCATTGATGATCCTTCAGCCCATAAGCCTGAGGAATGGGACGATGATGAAGACGGAACATGGCTCGCCCCAGAAATTCGCAATCCTAAGTGTTCTTCTGGCTGTGGTACATGGGAAGCACCATTAATAATTAATCCAACGTATATAGGACCATGGATTCAACCAGTGATTCCAAATCCTAATTATAATGGAGAATGGAAGCCAAGATCTAAACCAAATCCAAATTATTTTGAAGATTCAAAACCATCAAATTTGGAACTAATTGGAGGGTTAGGTTTTGAATTATGGAGTATGAAAGGTGACATTTTATTTGATAATATATATTTAGGTCACTCTATCAAAGAGGCTGAATTAATTGGAAATAAGACATATTCTCCGAAGTATGATATTGAAGAATACGACTTAGAACACAATAAACCCCCAGTTAAAAATGAACCCGTTGCACCTCCTCCGACTTTCGAAGATCTTGTAAATAATGACCAATCAACCATTAGCAGAATTCGTGAAATTTTCGGCATGTTGTATGCCAATCAATATTCAGATATAAGTTCGTTCTATTATAAATTTATGAGCAATCCGGTGGAAACCATAATCCAAGAGCCAGCAGTATTCTTCATATACTGTTGTGCTTTTGTTTCAGTCTTCACTTTTGCGTTTGGAATATTCGGTGGTTTGGTATTCATGGTAACTGGAGCGTCTCAGGTTACCCAATATGAAAAAGAACCGGAAAATATCCCGAAAATTAATGAACCTGATAGTGAAGGGGATGAGGATAAAAATAAAATTGAAGAAATTATTGACGATGATGAAGTAAAGGTATCATCATCTATTAAGACTTCTGTAACTTCTGCATCTAAGAGGAGGGCATAATCTTAGCTCTGTGAACATTATATGCTCCTTAATATATAGACGTACGTAGTTGAGGATTATATACAACTTGGAATAGAATATTAAATTCAAAATTGCGTACTCTAATTTTAACAGGATCTTTTCTTAGTAACTAGTATCCATTTTTACGTGAGGGTCGCTTGAACGAAATTTAACTCTATTCATTACTGAGATAGTATATAGCTAAAACAATTTTATGTAAAGTTGAAGCATCAACAACATAAACGCAAACTAAGCTTTATAGATATAATAGTCTGCAGAAACTGGTCTATGATCACTCATATAAAAACCATGGAAACGTGAATGCAAAACAGCATATTGCTTAATCATGACTTTATATTCTTCATGTAAATCAAGATTATAGTAATTGATATCTTCCAGTTCCAAAATTGATGGCGACTGGTTACCATTTTTAGCAAAATATGGACCCCAAACATAATCAATGATAGCTGTATCTTCATGCAAGTTATCAAAACCTGTGAAAGTCGCCTTATGGCCATAGCTGTGTAACTGATCGATCAATGTTCTACTATCTTTAAAACCATGCAGCTTTAAGATTTGGTACGGTTCGTCGTTAGGGTTTGTATTGAAGTCACCACATAAAAATGAAGGATAACCATTATAATTTTCCATTCTATCAACGATCAAACGGGCTGATTCCCTTCTGGCCTTTTTTCCCTTGTGGTCAAAATGGGTATTGAAAAAATTCAATTTAACGAAAGGGTTCGCTTTTGATTCAAGGGTAACCATACTAACAATTCTTTCTAAAGCAGCATCCCAACCTCTACTTGGAACTTCGGGGGATTCACTCAACCAGGTGGTACTATTATCTACAACATTCCATTCTGCACGTTTGAACAAGATGGGCGCGTACTCCCCCTCAGCCTTACCATCAGTTCTACCAACTCCAAAGTAAGTCCAATCGTCCGTAGTATTATCTTCATTTAAATTATACAAAATATCTTGCAACTGGTTATACAACACCTCCTGTAAGCAAACCACATTCGCCATACCACTATCTGTATTAAAGTCAATCGATGACGTAACCAATTGTCTTCTTTTGCTCCATTTCTCTTCATTTATATCAGTATGATGATTATCAAATCTTATATTATGTGTATATAATCGGACTTTTAATGGGTCATTGACCAATGGGGTCTTTTCAGTAATCCTGTAAACAGTCCATCCTGTAATTGCAAGAATTCCGATAATTGCAAAAATACCTGAAATTAATCGGGTCTTTTTGGATACTGGTCTACTGGATGTGCCAGTAGAAGTTCCTTCATTTAAAAGTGGTGTAGTTTCTTGGTTCTCAGCCATTGTAGACAAGATACTAATAAATCCTCCTTTGTAACGTATACTTAACCTCAACTCCTTTATTTAAGTTGCTTATGACCTATGATTTGGAGTAAAGTGCCGGTCCACGTGATAACACTGCTTTATTGTTGCAAGGTCGCAGTCATAGATAGGCCTTTAATGTCTTCAAATCTTCTCTATGGTGATTTAATCGTCGTCTGCTACATGAGTTTTGACCAGTTTATCTACTTCCACACCAGCTTTTCATTGGTACCACTTTGGAGGTGTTTGCTAATTTTTTTATAATTTTTATCTTAAATTGCAAATATTCAAGAATATTGGATAAGCATCAGGTGCAAGTGTATGTAAAGCTAGTAGAAGAAAATTCTTAAACTATTAGAAGTTTATATGTATAATTCATGTTTGATTTCATTTTGGACAAATGTAGGATATGAGGATTGAAGGATATTAGTATTGTAGGATACTAGTACGATAAGTCTGCACGTATTGGTTTAATGTTCTACAAGAAATATCTTGCAAGAAAACATCCGTGATAGTTTAGTGGCTAGAATTACCGTTTGTCGCATGGTAGACCGGGGTTCAATTCCCCGTCGCGGAGCACTTCTTGCGCAAATGGTTTAGTGGTAAAATCCAACGTTGCCATCGTTGGGCCCCCGGTTCGATTCCGGGTTTGCGCATTCTTTTTTTTCTTGTGTTGACTTTTCACTATCGAATCAATCAGTATTTTTAGAGTTCGTGGTATTACAGTAAATTAATCTAACTGTTAATAACCACAAAATTGCATTAATTAATCACATATCAATGAAATAATATGGAAATAGATGACCTAAATCTACGAAACCCTGTGCAAATTGGATATTATGATCCATTTAATGTATATCCATTAATTAAAGATGAATTGCAGAGTAAGCTTCCCCTAACCAATTTGCACTGGAAATACAATATATCCAAGCCATTGAAGTCAATACCCTTGTTACCAGTAACATTTGTGGAAGAAGTTCCTAAGCAAACGCTGGTAAAGGAAAATGAGAAGACATATTCGAGGATAATGTTTATAAAGTATGAAAATTTGGATACTTACAGAGCACAAGTCAGACCGTTGATTAAAGAATGGCTCAAACACCTTGTGAGCGATTCAGAGGTGGAATGGGCGATTGTTTTACTTACGGGATCTAGTCTGAAGGATAAACTGTCCACAATAATTAAAACGTCTATCTTTGATAAACTAAAAATTGACTTTGGAATAGATGGGAAAGAATTGCAGGCATTACCAGTAGACTCAGGCGTCAAGGAGAGATGTTTTAAGCTCCGGGAAGTATATGAGAATGATATGATGAAATTGGAGTCTTACAATGACTTGATAAACCATATGAAAGATTTCTTAGTGTCATCATTTAATAATAAGTATGTGTCGTTCAATCAAATGATCTACAACCATAAAGCAACGGATTTCAAGGCATTCGTATTGAAGTTGAAACTAGCGGATTTATTGAACGATATGCGTTTGTTGAATGATTCGTTAAGCATATATAATGAGCTATCAAATGACCTAAATAAGTTATATTATGCTAATCCGTCTAAATTTGAAACAGAGATTACACACATTCCTTCGGACTTAAATGGTTACCAGTTTGAGAAATCATTTAGTTCGACTAGCATTAAGAATTCGCTAAATAAGGAGAAAATTAATTTATTCGAATTGAAAAGTTTGATATTCGTAAATCAATCTTCGTTATTACAGCTACTAGCAAATTATGCCAATTCCATTTCATTGTCATCAATTTCCATATCGAGTATATATCAAAAATTATTATACTTTTTAAATGATTTGTCGAATATTTTTGGAGATAAATTGAATGAATGGATATTTGTGGTTATTGATAATTATCTTAAGTTACCTATTTGTAATAAAATCATGAATGACAATTTGAAAAGTGCAGATGGTGAGCAATATTATCAATTGAGTGAAATTTTGGAATTCAAAGGAGAATTGAAATTATCTCAGAGATCTAAATTGGCTAAAGTTGCAAACTCCCACGGTTACAACATTAATGGCATTAATGAAATACTTGAAGAAATATCGTTGAATGATGATACTTCTTCTTACAATACGTCCGAGCTATCATACAAACCACTTTTAGAAATATTGCTAAATGAAAACACTTATTATCAGCATTTTGAGAAATTAACAGAATTGATAATTCATGATTTTGTTAATTCCGGACGGGCTAAGACAATTGATATTTTAAGTATTGATCTTGCCTTATTGAATTACCAAATTGGTAACTATCAGGAGTCATTGAATATTTTACAAGATTCTTATGAGTTCTTCATTAATAATAGTTGGAATTTCATGGGTGGAATTTTATTAGAAATATATCTAAATTGCATTGAGAAATTAGATGAAAGTGACTATAGTTTAATTTCATTAACATGTCTAAGATTGTTTTCAAATCTTGTCAATCCTAAAAATGGAAAATTCGGAATTAATAATTATAAATTGATCAAACCGAAAGTTAAGATCGCGAGGTTATTTGAAAAGATTGAAGAATACTCCAGCAAATTAAATGAGCCGATTGAATTCCCTCTTGAAAAAATCTTTAAAGTGGATATCAAACCATTTATTCAGAGTGATGAGTCTACGTATTCCGACAAATATTTTATCCAAATTAAGTTAACTAATTATTATGGTATTGAATTTAGCTTTAAGGAAATTAAGTTGATGCTAGAAAATAGTGAAGGGGTAACGTCTTTTAATATTGAGAATGTTCTGATTTTCAATAATGTTGATAATACCCTCAAATTATATTCAAACGATTTTAAATTCGGCTCATTCAACCCATCCAATATAACGGTCAAAATTAATAATAATTTATGCTTTACGAAGCGATATAGTAGTGAAAATAGTACTGACAATGATGATACAGTTATTCAATATAACAATGAAACAATCTTGAAAGATTCGTTTTTGAATGATTCTGAATCTAGGGATATTGCGATTGCCCATAATAAATGGACTTCGGATGTGTTTTTCTACCAAAGTCCATCTAAGTTTTCCTGCGAATTTTGCACTCCTATTGATATTGATTTGGAGTCTACTGAAATAATATTGAGAATCAAAAATGGACACAACAATATCGAAGACGTTAAAATCGATATAATTTCTAATACAAATGGTCTTAAGATCAATAAGAAACTTTTGGAAGATAGACTTAAAATTAAGACCCTAACTTCTAAAGAGTCAATTGACATCAAAATCCCGTATTCCTATTATAGCGATAACAAAATTATTAGCTTGAAAGCAAATATAACATATTCTTCGAATGGTGAGAATTTTAGCCATTTCATAATTGACCAAGTGGATACGACCCTAACTATATCCGTTTCAGTACAAGACATATTCAAATCGCAGTATATCTTCTCCAAATTTCAGGTAGGTACTTCGAATCCAAAGTTACCTATAAGAATACTATCTAATGATTTAACAACAAAAAATGAGAATTATAGCATTATTAGTCCAAAGCACTCACCAAGACCGATAACTTTCGGAGACCAACCCGCATCTTATTTTTATAAAATCATTCCAAAGTCTGATTATATAATTAAATCTTTAGATTCGTTGGATTTAAGGGTCGAATATTCAGATTTAAAAAACGAATGTTATGATATAATTCAAAGTTTTCTTTTGCATAAATTGCACCATTTACAGTTACGTAAATATTGGTTCTTGATAAAGTCATTACTCTTCAAAGACATAAATTTCGACTTAAACAATTATGCTGTCAATCTGGAAGTCAGAATTATTAATAACCGTGAAATAGAATTGTTAATTGAAAAGGCATTATTAAAACATATAGAAGAAACAGAAGATAAGAAGAAACTAATAGAACTATTAAAACATGTTTTGTTTGACAATGAATTAAAATTCGAAGTAATTCCTAATTTCGAAAGCAAACAGTTATTAATTTCCGTTCCTATTCCTGTTTTGAATATTTTGCAATTAATTGAATTTGAGTTTGAAAGAAAACCTCAATATTTGGTAGGCGAGCCTATACTTATGAATTTAAAGATCGAATCTATTACTAAATGGTCAAATAATAAAGTTAAGGCTGGCTCTGAAGATGAGATTGAGATACTTGCAGAATCTTCACCTAGTAAACCAGAAAAACCTTCTGTACAGAAAGAGAATTTCCAGCTTACCATCCAAACTGATGACAACTGGCTAATTTCAGGATTCAGAAAAGAATCATTTCAAATTGATTATGTTGCAAATGAAAATAAATGCAACTTTGAAGTAGTTCTAATACCATTAACAGTTGGTAGGTTACTCTTGCCAAAGATAAATGTTAGAACTTTAGACAATTTAGAAAACGATTTCTCTATGGACATTAATTTCAAAAATGGATTAGAGACACTATTAGTTGTGCCAGATGTAAATAGTATCACTTTTTCATTCTAAAAAGCCAAATAACTCAGTATTTATATACAATAGCTATATATGCAGAATTTAATAGTCATAAATTCAGATCTCTAATATTCGTACGACAAGTTTCCAAACATAAATTCCATAGTTTATAGTATAAGACTAGAAGTATAGCAATATATAACAATATATTGTATAAAATTTCAATGTTGAACTATTTGAAAGTGTTACTAAGTAAAGACATTGTCTTCCATGTATACCATACACCTATGTGGTAGTGTATCAATGGCCGTCACTAATAACCTATCCTTTCCCAATTCATCAATTTCTCTTCTTTCTACAGGATTTATTAAAATTTCGTTGTCAGCAGAGAAGAAAAATTCATACTCTTTGTATTTATCACCTAATACTGACTGAAAATGGTTCAAAGCGTTCTCTTGAGTCTTATCTTGCTCCATATTATATTTGTGCAAATATACATTTATGCTCAAATATTTATTTGTTGACCAGGCTATATATATGTATTCCCCTTACAACCAATGCTTGTATGACTAATAAGATGGACGTAGGTGATATTTCATATATTTCATACTTATATACAATTATTTCCCGAAAAGTTTGAAAATAGGACTTCGTGGCCAAGTTGGCTAAGGCGTGAGACTGTTAATCTCAAGATCGTGAGTTCGACCCTCACCGAGGTCGTATATTTTTGCAACTATTTTTTTGGTATTTATAAGACTTCATTTAGTACTGCTAGATTTATTAAATATATAACATAGTAATTATAAAGAATTCCAATAGTGTTTTCCATTCGTGAGTTCATGTATATTAGTTCGGTTATTTTTTTTTGCTAATGCTGGGTCGGAGTGATAATTAGGCCAAATCGTGTATCCTACGCCGGCACTGACGCCATTATTCCTATCATAAAACTTCGTGCTGTGACGAAACAGTACTGTAAGATGCAAATATTATTTGATTCAATCAACGCTAATTTTGTAGATCACAAATATATATTTATTCTAATAAGGTAAATAAATATATCTAGGTTTATAATCCATTGCTATACGCTTACGAGATGAAAACCTTGTTTACCCATGATTAATTTTGAGTGAAAAACTGATAAAGAACCATTTATGAAGCTTGTGACATTAAGGATAAACGTGTGCTATTATCCACAATGATAAATAAAATGAGCTTTACAGAGCCATACTTACAATATGTTTAAAAATTAAAAAAAATAGTTCTTATATTATATATATCCAAGGCAGTTAATAATGACCTTTGATGGACTATTCCTCAACAATAACGTATAAATTTATTAATAAAGTACAAATCTAAAACGAATATTTGCTGTACGCCACCAATCTGATCAACGACTCACAAATTATATACAAAGAATGAATTGCGGAAAACTACATACACCGTTTCCGTAATATCTTCTTGGATTAACAGATCTTCATGAGCAATCAGCAAGTTTTAGACATCTGTCTGATAATTCTGACTGTTCGGAATCTCATATTTTTCCTAATGATGCTTCTTTAATGGCTCAACAACTAACTTATCAAAAGTAAACATTTGAGAAATAGTTGTTTGTCTCTGTAACATAGCTAACTGGTCTATTCCCTCATTATAAAATGATTTAATTGCTTCATCGTCCTTCAAGGATTTATTTGCCTTAAATGAATCAACAATCTTTCTCTTGGTGAACTCTCTAAAGTTATAGTTATCAAACTTATAAGCTTTTACCAAAAGCTGCTTATACAAGCCTAGTATTTGATTAGAATTAGGCATGATTTCTGTTATAGGATAAGAAAGTTATCTAGTATGAGTAATGTAATTCGTGGAGTAGAGAGGAAATACTTCCGTGATGAATAAAAAAAAGATCGAGTAGTGTACGAACCGAATATGGTATAGATATTCTAATATATACAAGAATTAATTACATATTACTAATCATTTACTGTCTTCAGGTTCATCCACTTCATGGACTTCATTAACGTTCCTCATGAATTCTTCAATATCTCTATCACTTACTTTAGATTTTTTGTTTCTTTTAGTTGATTTCTTAGCGGTAGCGTCTGCCATCATCTCTTCAAAGATTCTAGCATCTTCGGCCTCTTCGGGTGATCTTTGGACCTTCGACATAGTTTCACCAATATAAAGAACGGCCTGAGATCTGGAAATTCTCACCTTCTTGCCGAGCGATTTATCATTCAAGATTCTAGTACAGACCTTATTCAAAATACCGGTGACTTCGAATTTAGTAGAAGCCCATGCGGCTGCCAAAACCTTACCAGTGATTAATCTCTCCATTTCAACTTGTCTATGCTTTTGGGAGTCAGTCAATTCTTCACCTCTTTCAATAGCCTCTTGTATATCTTCTTGCTCTCTAACCATTGCCTCGACAGAAGCTTGCGCATCTAAAGCTGTCTTTAAAATAGAGAACCCATTCTTGAAGCTGTTAGTTTTCGATTTAACCGATGAAAAGATTTTGGACACACCGAAGGTCTTACAGGAATTAATAGTAGCATGCGCTTGGTTTGTGTAAATCTTACCAATTAAGTGCAATAATTCAATACCGAAACTTTCAATTTTTAAGTCCTCTAATTCTTCGTTTAACTTCGTCTTGAAGCGATCTAAAGAATCTTGGTTGGTAGAGGCAGATGTATATTGTTCGATTCTGGATAATAAGTTCTCTGACAAGACTCTTACACGTTCTTCTTGCGCCTTTTTGGTTTCCTCATGAAGCTTCAAAATTTCTTCTCTCTGATGTTGGGTCATCTTTTGCTTCTTTTTCTTATTAATGGCTTCAGTAGATAAGATATCGTCCTTTTGTTCATTGGTCTTGGTTACGTCTGAACCTGTTTCAGATTGAGTAGCAATTTCACTTGTAGCAGTAGTTGAATCCGCAGTCTGTGATTCCAGCTCAGTCCCTTCTTCGTCGCCCAAAATATCCGCCGTCTTAGATACTTCGTTCAACATCGATAATTCACCAATCCAGTCTTTGAAAACTTCACCTCCGAAAATCATACTGAAGAACTCAGCTGGGTCGATATCTGCTTCGCCTGCAACATTATTACTTTGCATACCTTCAACACCCATTTCATCGTAGAGTGCTCTTTTTTCCTTATCTTGCAAAATACCGTATGCTTCACCTAATTCCTGAAACTTGGCTGCTGCGTCAGGATCATTACCGTTTTTATCTGGGTGACATTTAATAGCTTGCTTTCTGTAAGCCTTCTTCAATTCTACGTCTGTTGCCGTTGGCTCAACGCCTAAAATGTCGTAGTACTTCGTATCTTTAACCATTTTTACACTGTCTTAACCTAGAATAACTCGATATTATGATTCAATGGATATAGAAGGATAGTTTTATTTACTTCATGGCAAAGCTCACCAGATGACCCTTCGACATTATCACGTGCCGTATCAATTTTTCACTGTTTGTGATAGTCTACAAGATAAGAATTTCAATGGTTACAATTTGCTAAATACATAGAATTAACGGGGAATCGGGGTAAAAGAATACGGAAATAATGATATTCGAGAGAGAAGCAGAATAAGTTGAAAAATAGTCGAAAGATGGATTTCTGTTGCAGCTGCAAAAATGAGTTCCGCATTGACCTTGAACGTGTATACTAGCACGCACAAACTTAGCAGAACTAACTAGACCTGGCAATGTAATTAATACACTTTTTATGTTTCACACAACGTATACTTGTATAATTCCAACAAGACTTGTAACTGTTGAAGCTGATAAATAGCAGAAGTATTATTAGAGTTTTGTTAAGATCCTAGAAGACGATTGGTAAACCAAAAGCAGTGCAACTTGTTTATCTATACTGGGTACATATAAATGATCTAGACTGCTTTTTAGTTCTATTAAGACACTTCATGTCATGTATTTGACAACTCAACTACGATTATATACAGTGGCTCTTTAACTGGCCAATATAAATTCGCAGCCCCATCGTTTGTCTCCACACCTAGTCCGAGAAGCCCGATTTCCGATCCGAAAACATTTCCATCTCCTCAGTATAAAACTACCGTTTTGTTCATGAACTTTAGGAATTTTCTGACCCTAGTGGATATATATATCTTGAAGAAAAGCTAAGGGACCTCAATATACGGGGTGCAAACTGCTTATACTAGTATATTGATTTTGGATAGTTCAGAAGCTGCAGGTAAATATGCCAGAACATGCCAATTTGGATGGTGCAAATAAAAATTTGGAAAACCAGCTGAGCGCATCTTTAAATACTGCCAACATATCGCAGGTTGAGGGTAATACAAAATCTCGAGCCGTAGGAGAGACGGATGTACAGAACAACATTGGTGACGATGAACTGGACTTGGCCGAAAGATTAGGGGATGCTCATTTAAATATTTTACCTACGAAAAAGATGATTGTGTGTCTTGCAACAATGTCTCTAGGATTATTTATATCTTTTGTTGATCAAACTGGTATAACTATTGCATTACCACATATTGCAAAGGATTTGAATGCAGAAACTACTATTAATTGGGCAGGTACGTCGTCGCTTTTAGCTAACTGTGTATGTCAGGTGTTGATAGGTAGATTTGCCGATATATTTGGAAGAAAGACAGTATTGTTGTATTCTTTCTTTCTTTTGGCCGTAGCTGATTTGGCTTGTGGGCTTGCTAAAACAGGGGTGCAATTTTTTATCTTTAGGGCATGTTGTGGTATAGCTAATGGAGGAATTCAACTGTTAACCAATATTATAATTTCCGATATCGTTGTACTAAAGAAGCGTGCTAAGTACTATGGGATTCTTTCAAGTAGTATTGGATTAGCTAACTGCACTGGTCCATTAATTTTAGCCGGTTTTATAAAAGGTTCGAGTTGGAGAACATTTTATTACATTATGCCAGCCATATGCTTTTTAGTTGCCTTAATAATCTACTTTGTTGTTAATAAAAATAGAAACGATAAACAGGAAGTATTATCTAGAAGAGAGAAGTTCAAGAAGATTGATTATTTGGGGTTCATTTTCAGTTCCGCTGGTTTAGTTCTCTTGCTTATACCAATTAGTGGAGGTGGATCAACATATAAATGGAATAGTGGTCTCATTATTGCCATGTTTATCGTAGGGGGGTTATGCTTGATTGGGTTTTTGTTAATTGAATGGAAGATTCCTAGGTTACCGATGATACCATTAGGATTGTTCAAGTCCGGACTGTTGTCGTTAGTTTTATCAACCAACTTCTTATATGGTATGACATATTATTCATTCACGTATTATGTTCCTTACTATTTTCAAATTGTTAGAGGATACGATTCAATAATGGCTTCAGTATTATTAATACCTTTGGTATTAACGCAAGCCATTACTTCGATTATAAGTGGTCAAATAATCTCTTACACTGGTCATTACAAGCATGTAATTTTATTCGGTTATGGAAGCTGGGTTTTGAGTTGCGGTTTGCTATTATTATGGAGTGAAACCATCAATATAGGGGTCGTCATTGTTGTCCTCCTCATTATGGGGGTAGGGCTTGGGTTTACCTTCCAGCCATGCATGGTGGCCGCTCAGGCACAAGCCAGAAAGTCAGAAAGGGCGGTTGTTATAGGTACTAGAAATGTTATTAGATCGTTTGGAGGTGCTATTGGAATTGCAATGGGATCATTGATTGTTAGTAACACTTTATTGAAGGAAATTAATGAAGCATTAGTACATAAAGAGAAATATGGAAATGTTCCCACCGACTATTTAAATTACTTGAAGTTGCATATTTATACCAGGATTGAGGTTACAGGCTTAAACGAAGAACAAGTCAAAGTTATCGAAGCTATGTATATGAAATCACTCATGAATTACTTCTACTTAGGCATTCCCTTGATTGGAATCTGCTTCATCAGTTCATTCTTCTTAAAAGATAGAGGAGTGCAATGCATTGATGAACAACCAGAACCAAAGGACAAAGAAAAGAATATAACAAGTAAATAGTCATTAGTCATTAGATAGAAATACGTATTTACTATGCATACACACATTGTATCCAGATACCTACGCATGATATTGATAATTTAATATCTCTTATCATAAATATCGGCACGTTTTTAGTTCCGGTTCATAAAGCTGCCCAAGATATTGTTGCTCATTTCTTGCATATCAACACCTTCCAATAAATCTCCAAGATTATCGCTGACAAACTGACCAATCTTGTCAAAATCAAAGTCTTCCCCCTTATGGAAGTGGTCTTCCACGTAATCAAAGTACGACTTGTCAATTTCAATGCCGTAGTCCTCGAGCACGTTTGACAGACCAAAGTTGCCCTTTTGTGAACCTCCCCCATTAAACATCCCAAACAACCCATTCATCAAATTAAACCCCTTAGTATAATGTTCCCGCGACCCATTGTAGTTATGGTACAAGTCAATGACCGCCTGTTTGATAAGCTGCACGTCTTGGGTGAAAAATCTCCATCCTCTGAAATAAACTGCTCCACACACACAAATAAACACGAGCATCAAAAATGCCTTTATTATCCCCATCAAAAATCCTATCCACATCCGTATCATCCTCACAACCAATCGATATACCATATATGCTCCCACAATTCCCATTACGATCAATGTAAGTTGTGGATATGTTCGATACGAATAGTTGAGTAGTATTATACAATTCCGGAAAACCATCACCAATACCGTCATCGCCATGAATGCTACCTGTGCAATAAAATCTTTTAGCTCGTCCATATCCGTATAGAACTTCTAATCTGTATATAATGTACCTTATACCTGTGTTTGGTGCTTGAAGATTGTTCTTTTCTCCAGTATTCGTTTACCATAATAGCCCTGCAAACCGTATCGAAAAGTTCCACGGGGTTACCCGGACATATATCATCAACTATAAAAGACACCGGGGCCCACCAGAAAACTTCGTTTTCATCTCTTTCGTTTGCTCTTTGAAAGTTGCCTCCGAGTTGAAATTTGGCAGTTGACCAGTCGTTATATATGTTTGAATGATGGCGGTCCGTTTGTTCAATTAAGTTTGAAAGCTTTATTATCTGTGCCTTGCCCATTAAGTTGGGAAGGTACACTATGGGTGATATTGTTAGAGTGGATTGCTGTCACCGAATATGTTGTTAGTTAATTGTTGATAAACGCTCGGACAGATCAAATGTGATTATATAGAATATGCTTGAGGTCAGAAACTCGAGGGTGTCCCGTTATGTCACGATATGTTTTGATGTAGATGAGATTTGAAAAGAACTATCGCAAATCATGTAGAATGTAGAGAAGCCCCAGACTGGTCACACGAGGTCTGCTTGGGGCCTGATAACGCCAGCTGCTTCTTCATGAGGGGGCTGACGATTGAATAGCCCGTAGTGTTCGTTGAACCGCAAGATCTAAAAAAATCGAAAAATGGTGATGGTTCCAAGGACCAAACACAAAACGAAGTGCGCCGCCAGCCAGCAAGTGATTAAATCATTTACGTATATTTAATCGTTCTTTTCAAAGCAAATAGCAACATACCATATTATATCAAGATGTTTCTGAGACGGAAGCCACCTCAATTGCCGCTAGTGGAGGAACTCCAACAGACATATAATGATTGTTGTAATTTAACTATTAGAAACTTGACATTGGAAGAGCAGAATAAGGTTGAGGATGCATTAAAAGGATGGAAGTCATTACATACGTCTTTATTATTTAAAATAGAAGCATTTGATAAACAAGTGATCAAGACAGAGAGCGAAGAAGCCACACTCTTGGAGGAGTTGAAACGAATCAGGGATGAGAATGTTAAGCATCTCATTAGGTCGCAATTAAGAATGGACGAAATCACACGGAAACAGAACAGTAGTAGTAGTAATAAGCCTGCAATTAAGGTAACACTGGGGTCTCAGGGGTCCTCGATGACGGTTCCCTCTTTAAGGGGTAACGGAGGCCTGTCATCGCGATCGTTGACCAATACGAATGCAACTAACCAACGAAGAATGTTGAAGTCGTTGAGACCAGGCATTCCCCAACACAAGTCGTTGAATACTAAGGGAGCGGCGCAGGCGTCCAAAGCAGCAACCGTTTCGTGGCGGAAGCCCTCGAATACCAAGGTTCCTACGATTAAACCGGCCAAGGATGACATGTTTGAGGATTTCGATCAGGATTCGTTCGAGTTTTTTGACTCCAACTGGGAAAGAATCGACTCTCCACCAAACTTGATAGATCTAGATATTCCAATTAACGATAATAATGACGAAATTGGTGACTACTTTGGCCAGGACCTGTCCAATAATGGCACGAAAACGAATGGTCTCCATGATGTCAGTTCCTCGATGGAAAACTTAACTATTAACAACGATTTTCCCAAGCCTAGAATAAGTAAGCCATCAGCAGGGCAAAACTTGAAATTACAACCAAAGTTATCGGACTTTGCCTCGAAAAGCACGTCAGATATTGGTGTGGCAACGAATGACGGAGAGAATAAAGGTGTTTACATGTATAACAAGCCAAAGCCATTGAATATTAATAGATTAATGAAAGGTCAACAACAGAAACCACAGACATCGAGAAGTCCTGTCAGACAAGCGCCGGCACCAAAAGCAAAACCACAATCAAAACCGCAACCAGTCTATAAAGCAAAACCAGTGGCAAAACCCCCACAGGCTCTGACACAACCTCCAAAGAAGCCTAACATTTCTTACAACTATATACCTGGAAGTCAATCTGCAAATAAACCGAGACCGAATCCAAAGAAGACCACTGCAGCTACAGCAGCGTCCTCAACCGCACAAGCAAAACCTAGAACTGCTGCACCTAAAAAGATCGGGAATGATGAAGACATACCGATGTCGCCAACTATGGATGACATTTTAGGGGGGTATGATGACAATAAACCACTAGATGAAGAAATGGAAAAAGCCTTAAAAGACTCGTTGGACGAAACTGATGACCCAAACAGACCTTTAAACGAGGACGAACAAGAGGCACTTATTGCATCCATTAGGGGTATCGATCCATTAGCAGCAACACAAATCTTGAACGATATAGTTGTGCATGGTGACGAGGTTTATTGGGACGATATTGTTGGCTTGGAAAGTGCCAAAAACTCATTGAAGGAAGCAGTCGTTTATCCATTTTTGAGACCCGATTTATTCAAGGGTTTGAGAGAGCCCACAAGAGGAATGCTTTTATTCGGACCTCCTGGTACGGGTAAGACTATGTTGGCTCGTGCAGTGGCAACAGAATCCAAATCGACGTTTTTCTCCATCAGTTCATCGTCTCTTACTTCCAAATATTTGGGAGAGTCGGAAAAGTTGGTCAAAGCCTTGTTTTTGATCGCTCGGAAGCTCGCTCCCTCTATTGTTTTCGTGGACGAAATAGATTCACTCTTGAGCTCAAGGTCAGATGGTGATGCTGAGAGCTCTAGAAGAATCAAAAACGAATTTTTAATCCAATGGTCCGAACTCAGCAGTGCCGCCGCAGGTAGAGATAAAGATGACGGAGACGATGTCTCCAGAGTATTAATCTTGGGTGCCACAAATTTGCCATGGTCCATCGACGAGGCTGCGCGCAGAAGGTTCGTCAGAAGACAGTATATTCCCTTACCCGAGGATGAGACACGTAAATCGCAGATCATCAAATTATTAGCCCACCAGAAGAATACTCTTCTGGAAGCCGACTACAATGAGCTCATTGCTTTGACCAAGGGCTTCAGTGGGTCTGATATTACTGCATTAGCCAAAGACTCAGCAATGGGTCCATTACGGTCGTTGGGTGACAAATTGCTCGATACCCCAACAGAAAATATACGTCCCATAAATCTAGACGACTTCAGAACTAGTTTGAATTATATTCGTCCTAGTGTTCTGAGCGAGGGTTTAGTTGAGTACGAAAATTGGGCAGTTAAATTTGGCTCATCAGGCGTATAGGCTGATGCTCGCTCGCCAAAAGCAGCACAATAGTGTATTTCACATTCCTTATTTTTACATGAAGAGGATTTTTCCCCTTACGTCATATTGTTTTTTATTGTCCTTTTCAGGGGCGATTTGAAAAATTTCCCGCATAAGGTTAATTTTCGGGCACGACAGTAAACATCGACTCGAACCGAACTGGCTGTACAAATTGTCAACAATAAAAAGAGGCAATCAATACTACATTTGCCTGTGGATAAGCAGGTGGGGGCGAGATGCATGATACAATAGTGGACTAGAACCTTTTTTTTACTAGAAGATACGAATTATGCTTATGGCAATGCATTTTGATGTGGCACATTAAATGTACCTGAATGTGAAAAAAATTCACATAACCGTATTTGAGTATTTTTCAGGTGTAACAGTTCGGCTTGTACATTAATTTAAAAAATACAATCAGGATTTATGCATTATTTATATATATTTATCCCATGATAATGATCATTAAATGCAGAGGCGTATATTACGTCTGATTAAGTTGCTGAATACATACGTAAATAAAATAGTCATATATATATATAATATTTTTCCAGGCGATATAATAATATTGGATTAGGACTTCTGTTTACAGTATTTGAATACAACGGTTTCTCGATATATGTCAGGAGAAGATGAGTGTTACTATGAGTTATAATAATCACCAGAATCAAAAGTACCATCCATACTCGTTCCGGCCAGACCAAAATCGACATGGATACTATCGCATAAATCAGATTCCAATACTGCACCAGCAGCCTCCAACAACACAAACTACGATTCCACCACCTCAAATACCTGGTATCCAAAGTACAATACAGACTACGTTACCTCAAGCACAACCACATCCACACTTACAGGCCCCCATTCAACAACCACAAGTTTACTACCAACCTTATCCTCCCCAACAATACTACACATACGTCCAAACTCAAGGAGAAAATTCTTTACCCTCCAACAAACGCAGAAAGACCAAGCATTTTTCGACGTGGACGCCCGCAGAAGATAAGCTTTTGCGAGAATTGAAGGAGGAACAAAAGATGGGCTGGAAGCAAATTCTGACCTACTTGAACGATAGAACTCCCAACGCATGCCAGTTTCGCTGGAGAAGAGTTGTAGGCAGCATAAATGTATCGAATACTTCAGTTGCTACATTGCCTCCTTCTTCACCTGCAGCCTCATCGTCGAGATCGCACTCATTAACGCACATCGACACCCTTAGTTCTCCCATGACTTCGCCAAAACAACCTAACCCTAGTATTGCAGAGTCAGCTGAATCAGAGTCCAGGGAACACATGCAAATTGCAGATACTACATCCGACACAAGCAATTCGTCTGATATAACTGAAAGACGTAAATCCTCGCATCACTCGATAAACTTCTTATTAAATTAAAAGTATGTACATTATATTCTTTCAATTCATAATCATAATATAATAATTAATTTCGTATGTGGGTATTTGCCGTGTAGATATTCTGCTGGTTGCCAATAAACCTTATAATTAATTACGGCTGCTGTTTATAGCCAATCACGCATTGTATGAACGCAGACAAGATAACTTCTATTGTTCCTGAATACAAATCGCCATCCTTTATCTAAGATTGTTCGCAATCAAATCTCTTACGAGGGAGTCTAAGCCTACAACAGTATTGGGGTATATTCAGGCATATTGGGCACATGCTTAGCGGCAGAACATGTAGGTGGTAATGAAAATCTGGATTTGGCTATGTTTGGTAGTCAGTCGGCCATTTTTTGAGTTTCTCACTTACCGTTGTTGGCAAGCAATAGATGGGATCAATTTTGCTGAAGCAGAATGTTTTACTCTCGATTAGACTAAGGCCGGTGATTCCAAAACATGTATGGAAAACATCAGTTTGGTTATCTTCTCTATCGCTTATGCCACCTTTTTCAAGATCCTGACATGTTAAAATGTAGTGTTCTAATTTGCCAGCATCGATCCAGTGCTTTTTACCGAGAATAGATAATGACGATAATACCCACCAACTATAACATACATCGGGCAATTTTTCTGGTCTACCGTTAAACCCCCCGCTAGGAAGCACTTGCCTTTCACTAAGCCAATTACCTAGTTTTACATCGTTGACCAAATGTAGACTGTCAGTTATGGCCAAAGTGCCCAAGCAGGTGAATACTTGAGCAGCATGACTCTCTGCTCCAGGCAACATCCCAAATGCCCCATCAAAGTTTTCACATTTCATTATAAATTTGACTGCAGGATCAATGACCTCCTGAGTTAACTCTCCGAGAATAGCTAACGCTTGTATAGCAGTGTACACAAATCGAGTATCTGTTTCCCCAAATGAATCACCCTGAAAACATCCATTGGCCAATTGCAACCCTCTTATAAACCCGATCAACTGACCTCTTTTTTGCGCATTTAAAATCTCCAAGCTATCGTAAACCGCCAAAATTTGGATTGCTGATAATGTCGACAAAATATGTGCATCATGTTTAGGATACGCTCCAAATCCACCCACCTTGGCGTCCCAACAACTTAATACAAACTCTAACACTCCATCTTTTGGTAATGCATCTAACAGATTCATAATTCCTAAAGCAGTGACGCCCCAATAGAGACCATTCATTCGTAAATGTTCCAGTAACCAATATTCAAATGTCTGTTTTGTTGATTCTGAATCTAAATCTTGTATATACTTGACATGTTTTTCTTTGACAAATTCCAATTCCCGAGCTTCTACGCTTGACATGTTAGTTTTGACTTAGGATGCTATATCAAGTGTATTTACCTTTCATTTCGTGATAAAAAGATTTCTCATACAAAATTTAGATCAGACTGCAGATTGAGAAAAACACAACTTTGCAAAATTCTATGTTAAATATATACACCTAAAAATATACCTCTTTGAACTCGAATCTCTTTCCACTAGGGAAGTATTCAACAAAAGAGAGCTTTCTATTATTACCGACTAATTTACCTGTGTTAATAACCTTACAGCCGTTGTATGTGACTTCAAAAGTAGGGAAGGTTGCATCGTTTAATATCAATATGGTTGGTAATGGCTCAATTCTCAAAGAATAATCGAAATTGGTATTGATGATACGGATGTCTTTCAAGAATGGTTGTATATTACCTTGATCTAATATAGTTTTCACCAACTTTCTTGCCTGTTTAATTTTTGGAGATATATGAGGCTCCTTCGTATTAATGTCAGTTGCATGTATTAGACCATCATCGTTTTTATCTTTTTGTAGCTTTAGTTGTTCCAATTCTAAGTCGTTTGAAAAAATTATATCATTTCTTTTGAACTTGTTGATGATATCATCTTTCATTAATACTATTTCCTGGGATAAATAATTGATTCTAAGTGGATTCCATCCAGCTATTAAGTTACCCTTTGGTAATAACCTTTCTAACCTATTTGTGAATATTTTAGGTATGGATCTTTGGGGGAATGCATTAAGGTTTGACCCTCCTAATGAATGGGATGATTGCCATGGGTCATTAATGCCTGGTATTAACGCAATCTTTACCTTCTGCACAATATTTGGGAAGTTCGATAAAATATTACTCAAGTTATCAAAATTACTTTTATAATTTTCAGTGTTAGATACATTGGCAACAGATGAATTAGTAGGTGTCAATGGATTTGACGTAAATGAGCCAATAAGAACTATAACTAGTGGCTGATTTGTTTCGTCGTCTATTATGGAACTTTCAATTTTTCCAAAGAGTTTCTTTATCCCATCTAATATTTTGAGGTCATCAAGGAAACAATCAGAACCCAATATAATTAGCTTATGGTTTACTAAAGTTTTCTCTAGACTTATTAACTTTTTCTTAAGTGATTTATTAACTCTTAATATATGATTATCGTTGCTATTAGCATCATTATCTCTGTTTATTCCCATAAAGTCTAGGTTTCCATAGTTTTCCAAGCTTAGCTCCCTCCCCTCTGCCGGTGGATGACCAATGTTACTGACATGAAAACATCCACCAATAACGTTCGAATTGGACATGGAACCCCCTGAAGCCGAATAAATGCCTTCTGCAATGACAAACATACCGGGACAATAAAATGAGCCTTCAGTTTTGTAAGCTTGAGTTAAGTTTAATTCAATATGGTCCGTAGAATCTTCCAAGATAAAATCATCGTTAGCGTTCTTTGATAGTAAACCAAATAAAATGAACTTTGATCCATCTCTACCAAGCACATTCTTAATTAAAGTGATTTCATTGGTCTTATTATTATGATTTAAGGATTTGCTAATGGAGGAAATACTAGAAAACGATGGCTTTTGAAAATTTTCGTTTCTTGATAACCTATCGGATATTAAATGATATCTGTTGTTGAAATAATCGACATTGGAATTAAGATTATTTGCTAACCTCTTAGAATTTGTACTGGGAATAAAACTAAGTTGTTTTCTATGCTTATCGTATTTATAATTGGGCTGTTCATCAGGATTAATTACTTTGAAATAATCTTGCCAATTCAATGTATTTTCTGCATTATATATAGCTTCATTCTCTGCATCATTATCAACCAAAGTATCTGATCTTTCGGCCTTCTTTGCTAAGTTGTCAGCAGAACCATTTCTACTTGATATTTGGTTGGTATTCCTATCAGAAAGTTCTTTAATTACTTGTTTCAATCCTGGTCCATCAATAAATATACCCCTATCTTGATTCTTCCATGTTTTGGCTATCTCTTCTAAAAATTGTTGGGATTGTATACTTTTCCAATCAAATCCAAACTTATAACTAATAGCATCAGTTAGTAATTTCAATGCGTCAGTTTGGATATTTAAACCATGCTTTTTCGACAAGATCCTATAAGCTATAGGTCTTAGATTTGACGGCTGAAGCTTTATAGGCAATGCACTGGGGTTTTCCATTGAGAAGGATCTAAATTCTGTTTATTTGACTATATATTCATCAGTATTAATTTTAAACGCGTTATTATACGCGCACCATAACTAAAGAGTTTATATAGCAGATGGGTTTTTAATTAATGCTCATTATATTTCCAGCAGATAATGATCTTCGATCAGATCAGTATCTAGGAGTAAACCGTTCTGAGGTATATTAGGGGAATGTCCAATGATAATGATTATTTCTTCTAATTGTTTCAGTAGAACCGATAGACTTATCAATAATTCGTTGAGTATTTTCATTTCATTTAATATTTTACTTCTCTTATCGTAGGCTTTGGCAATGTCTCTACAACGCTGACTACTTGTGGAGGAAGACATAAGGTTAATCTGAAAAGCTGAAATTTCCTGGTTAATTTCAAATAGGCTCTTACGTTTCTTGTAGATGGACTTACTGAAACTTTCGGTGAGTCGGGTGAAAAGAGATCTGATCTCTATAAGGTTATCGATATTGTATTCTTCACCTATATCTTGGGCTTCCAGTCGAGCGTATGCCAATCGGAAGCGGCGGAAGGCGTTCAGATACTCTGAAAATTTGCCTTTAATGCTTTCAAATTTTATCAACAGGTTCTTTGGCATATCTTTTGTATTTAGTGATTCCAATAAGGTTTCAAAATCATTTAGTATGTATTCTTTATGCGTGTCGCCCTCTTTCAAAATAGACTGGGATATATCGATTAGTTTCTCAAAAAATTGCACGTAATCATTTTCGTTTGCATCCAAGTCGGACTTTATAATTCGCTTCTCATCATTTAATAGCTTCCGTTCTTGCTTATACCTTTGCTGATTTAATTCAAGTCGAGTCACAACCACGTCATTGGAACCAAAGTTATTGGTTTTCCGGTTGTTCGTTAGTTGCAAATTCCTTTCGTTCAAATCATCCAACTTCTTACTTTTCAAGCTGATTTCAAGTTTCTGTTGCAAGATTTCTTTTCGCTCCTTTTTCAATATAGCCAAATCACTTTCAAGTTTGCTTCTCTTGGAATTTAATTCATCCTCAAGGGTCTGCAACCTCCGTCTTTCTTTGGATAAGTCTTGCTCTTGTTCCTTTTGCTTCACTAAAAATTTTTCGTGTTCCCTGAATAATTCTCTTTCCAATTGTTCTAACTTTGTTTTCTCTAACTCGTCAACATGTAATCTAGCACGATTCTGCAAAACGAGGATCTGCTGGTTTAATTCTTCCGTATGCTTATCAAATTCTATTTTAAGAGACTTGACTTTATCATTATATTTATCTCTAAGCCGCTCATTGTTATGTCTTTCTCGTTTAATTATATCTTGTAACTCCTCGAATTGATTTCTGGTTTGTTCTGATTCGTAATGCTGGCGCTTCTGAATAGTAGCCTCGTCAACGAGATCTCTTGGTTCCTCGAAGGAAATATCTCGTCTCTTTATCTCCTTATGGTCGTCTTTCTCAAACCACACTCTTTTGTTTCCTTTAATCTCCGGGCTTTCATTTACATTTAAGACATTTTTGGC